CACTGAAAAGTATGTAAAAGTAGTTTCATCTATAACTGCAAGATGGAGAGCCTTTAAAAAATTTTAATTTACAAGTAAAAAAACAAACTTAAGGTTACAAAAGCTAAGAATCGCCGTCTATTGTTTGTCATTGGAGGGGACAGTAATCCCCTCCTATAGCAAATGATGACCATGAGGGACTGTAATCTCGTGATTATTTGTCCTTCCTGGCAGTAGAATCATCTACTTGCCAGTAAACTCTCTGATGCTGGGAGGCGTGATGTGGTGTTGTGGGTGCCCTCCAATGACCAATAGGTGTCCCTTAAGGTAAAGGGCCCATTTTTAATACAACAAAAAAAAATTTTTTCTATCTAATTTAGGGCAACTGACGTCTTACAGCCACAATAATGTTGCTATCATCATCTTCAAATAAGGTTAGCATCCCAATTTAACAAACACTTTTAAGGGCATGTTGCTTAATAATTAATATAACATTATTTTTTATGTCTAGATCAAAGAAGAAACTTTTTTTAGATACTTGTATGTATAAGGAATAAAAATCGACCATTACACTGCTAAAGATTTAGTAAGAATAAATAATATTTAATAAAAAAGAGACTAGATGAAGATGTCCATAGTTAACGAGCACTGAGCTTTGACATTCTAGTAGTTCCAAGCAAAAATTTATGATTTAATGCGTTTTCTTTGTATATTTACAAAAACTACTTAACAAAAATTACATTGGAATTAAAATTACTTTAAGAAATAATAAAAGCATTGTCCAAGCAAAAATCGTGAGTAGTAAAACATTTTTATTTTTTTTTTATTCGTATTTTAAGTTTTTGTTTTAGTAAACAACATGAATACAGTACTAACGTTTACAGAGCTTCGTTCTTCCTGTGGGTCTGGTTTTCTTGAAAACTGCACAGACTGCGCAAAACACCGCGACAGGAAACGACGGACGGAGGAGAAAAAAAAAAAAAAAAAAAAAACTCGCGCCCCGAAAAAAAAGGCCGAAAGTCGCGCGGAATGCGATTCTTTTTCGAGATATGATCTCGCTTTCTCGAGGCTCTCTCTCCCCACGACTGGCGCCCTCGCACAGCTGGACGCAACGTAAGTAAAAGTCACACGATCTTAGAGCAAAGAAGAGAGAGGGGGACCCTTGAAAAAGAGGCCCCTAAGTTCGTCCCCCTCCCCCGCGACGGGCACGCACCTCCCCTCCTCATTGTTTCATCTCCCGCATCAGCAGGAAAAAGAAACGAAAAAAAGGTGAATATATGCAAGAAAGACGAGGAGAAGACGGAGTCTGCGAGGAAAGAAGAAGAAAAGGGACGAGATAGCGTGGCTCCGAATGAGAATGAGCTATACGTGTGCGTCGGGTGCATACTCACATATATATATATACACATACATGGGCACATCGTCCTCTATACCCTTGTATATTATGACGGGGGGGAGAGAGGATGTGCAGGTAGGCAAAGGAGGAGGAGAACAGTAGCGGCAATCAAGCCGGACATCGGACAGTGACGAATGCCGCGTATCATCGCGTATCATTAGCCACGACTCAAGGCTCCCTTCTTCTTCTTCTTCTTCTTCTCCTTGGGTGCTTCGTATTCTTCTCTTTCTTTCCCCGCGTGCATACTTGCTCGTCCTTTGGCTCGCGGATATTAAAGGAAAAAGGCCCACACTGGCATGGAGAGTCAGGTACTGTAGCCTCCTTCACTGTACGCATGTATCTACATACCTTGAACCCTATGCTAATGCGAGGGAAGCAAAAGGGGACCATAATTAGGGCTCCTTAATCCTCACGGGTATGTATACACATATGCCCTCGGTTTGTGCGCGTATGCGCGAGGCTTTTAGATAAAAAGCGGCTTTTTCATTCGTTGGTGTACGAGCGATAAAATACGTGAATAGCACTGATGTGTGATTTTAGCCGTGTACCGAAGCTTCGTCCAAAGAGTCCGTGATGGTATGCTCGTCGTTGTTATTGAGCGCCAAAACCTATTGAGGAGGATGTAAAGCGCGTAGTGGCGCATCAGTCGTAGAACTTAGCGAGGGACTTTTTATTTTAACAAAAAAATGGATGTGTTAATTCACTTAAACACTCGAAACTCACTGCTTATAGTATAGTTTGATAAAGAAAAATCGAAGGTATCCAAGAAAATGGACCTAGTGATTTGGGCATCAGTTTAAAAATTACGTGTTTTTGAGTTTACGTAACTTGATTTCTCTGGTGAAGCACATGTTTTTTAAAACTTATACCATAATCACGGTGACAAAATATATACCGCACATATTTTTTCTTCTTGGCTCTATTATTTAGAAGTTAGTTCAAAAAAAAGACCAAACGCAGGTTAGAATCAATGCCTTACATGACACAATGTTCTTCGTACCTTTTCTCAGCCTGGCGGATTATATTTTTTTTAATTATCGAAACAAAGGTAATTTTTCGTATACCTTCTACGTGTACATTTTGTTTTTACATTTTAACGTTATATACCAAAAACGTGTGAAGAAAAAAAATATAAAAACACGGAACCTCGAATGATGATGTGAAAAACAGATGCGTATAAAAACCAAACGGTACTTTCGAAAAGGCACTTATTTGTCCGATAATCAATAAGAATTAATAACTTTTTCTTTTAAAATCTTCATACCCGAGAAGATTTACGTCCGGCAAAAAGTAAATTTTATCGCCAAAAAGTGTATGGTAAAACTCCCGGCTGGGCATAAACTGCGCTTATAATTACAGGTGTCACATTTTCAGGCCCCTCCCACCTTTTCCCGCGCGGGTTTGAGGCGGAGTAACTTACGACCCCGTAAATACTCGCCGGAAACAAAAGCAAGGGGAAACCCAAATGTATCGGCAACGCGTACATATATATTATACAGCACCCTCTCGAACTCGGTTAACGTTTACAACTTCTTTTATGCTGATTGCAAATCCGCTCTCGGGAGCACGAGTCCCTCCCTGACATAATGTGTTGTGCGTATATATATATATAAGCGTACAAGGGATATCTTTTCGGTGGCCGAAACTTACCTCGGGCGTGGGTGACTTACGGGCCGGGATGTATAACTTTGCTCGGCTCTGATACACCTCGTATACGCAAGCAGAGCAGCAGAGATTTGGCCGTTGATGTACGGCTGCTCGGGAGGCACCGCTGACGTGCATATACCTGCGTAAATTTTTCTCAGGAGCTTCACTCTATACGTATACCTTTGCGCTCAATATGCGTCCGGCTTTTACGTACAGGACCATCACTTTTTCCCACTCATCCTCCTGAATCTTTCGTCTTTTTTTTCCGACTCGAAAGTTGGGCAGGTATACGTGAATATCCTCGGGTTTGACGGAGAAATCTTTGATAAATGCAGAAAAGTATAGTGGCGATGTATCTTTTTTTTTTTTTTGGCTCAGCCATGTTGTGTCGTTGCATTTTTTCTCAAACAGTGTGTTAATGGGATTTCCTGGGATCGAGCGTTGGGTTGCAGCTACACGTGTATTTGGTTACGAAAAGTGTTCGGTAAAAGGTACATATATTTTATACGGTGAGCGAGAAAATTGTGTACGGATCTGTATTTTTATTCGAGTGTTATAAGATTACGGGTGTTGCTTTTCATTGGAAATGCGTTGGCTTGCGGAATCCCAACAATGTTTAACCAATTGAGTATCTCATTTACTCGAGCCTCGAGTGATTTTTCTCGTGGGGAAAGAATTTTTAGCCAAGCCTACACGGTTGAATTGGGGTTTGGATGAACAGAGACGCAGGTGACATGCTGATAACACCTGAATGAGTTGATGTCACAATGGGTGTTACGAAAAGAATACCTGAAGAGCCTTTTGGGTTGAGTCTGGTTGATAAAATCATTATTTAAACCAACTCTAAAAAAATAAATGTACTTTGTGATGTTAGAAACCTGAGAGCTGTATACATCAAACGCAAATAGTAACAAACTCTTCAGTTTACTACAACAAATCGTAAAGGAAACTTTTCTGAATATTTCTAGGAATTTGAAAAGATTTTTATCGTTTATTAGATACGCTAGCGATATAATAAATGGCTTCAAAATAGAAATTTCTTAATACATTAAGTGATTTTTTTTTTAGTATAACGTTAACCTAACGTGCAGTTACGGTTTGTATGTCATAATCGTTTTTTAAAGCAGCCATTGAAACATCTTTGAACATATCTAATTTCGATTAAATTTAACGTATTTCACATTAAATAATCAGTACCCAAAAATTATCTAGTTACGTTTTTGTGGACTTAGGGTGCGTAGGGAGAAAATCGTGGGCATTTTACTATTTATCAGTTTAACACGTAATCTTATGGACAATAGCGATTTATTTTGTCTTTTGAAACACTGATCTACAAGATATTTATAAAAGTCTACGAAGAAGACGCTTATAACATAAACTACATTTTGGTCACCTCAAAATATTTATTATGTGCCTGTGAGATATTTAATTATACATATATATACAATGCATATATATATATATATATACACTTACACACTGCCATTGAGATAAATTCTTAAGTTGATTAATGTGGTGTCGACAGTACTACCTTAAAATGAATGTAAACTGAAAGGCATACGTATGATTACCTAATCAAACACGAACCACTTTTCATTTGGTTTTTTTTATGTACTTCTTTGGTATTTTAAACTGTTAGAGATGTAACCTGTTGATAAGAACACAATTGGTGATGAAACAAAGGAAGCTACTAATGATTAGTAAGTAAATTGATTTTGAAATAACAGCTTAATCGGCCTTTATTATCGACAAACGTTTATGCGTCCAACTTAATCGTATAGAGTAGCCACTGTGCTCTTGCAGTGGTACCGTTGTTCATTTACTAATACAAACTATACCTCTTAAAAATTGTCACTTTTCAAACAATTTTCTTTATTTTTGCATGGAAATTTCACACGAGAAAGAAAAAAAACATTTAGTTCCAAATTTTAGTTTGTAATAGTAAGGTTTTTCAAAGAAATACAGTGAAACTACAATGATGAATCACCAGAATGAGGAAAATCTTCACGAAGCAGTTTTTTCTGGCAACATGGCGACGGTTCAAAAAATTCTACAAAGGTAATTTTCATTCTGATTTTTTGTAACAGTTTGGTCAGTCACACTTTAAGTTTCGTAAAATAAGTAATTTGTTAACAATCATTACAGAAATACGTAGTATCAGAGTTGATACACTTTGGCATGGAAACGTACCAGCTACTTAATATCTTTATTCGTGTATTCTTTGTAACACTAAGCTAAAATCCGAAGCATTTTTAAACCAATTTCGACGAGTAACTTTTTGACTTCAATTTCTTCGTACTAACAAACCAAATACGGTATCTGTGCCCAACATTCCAGATATTCTTTACAACACTATTATCTTGGAAATTGAACCAAACTGTTTTTTAAAAATCTCTGCGGATAATACCACAAATGCCTTAAATATGGGGATAATCATTACAATGGAAGTACAAAGAATTTATACTATTACACTTTTGGAGCAGCTCCTTTGGTATACCGAAACACGTAATATCATATAGATATCGCAAATAGGATCTTAAATAGTCAAGGTCGCATGTTCGTCACTCTTACCTGAAGGAAACCTGCTGCTTTTTGCAGAAAATCATTTTTTCTAACGAGAAATCATAATTTCCTTTTTGTTTTAGCTATCCTACTTAAGTTTTCCAACAACATGTACTCAGTTGACTGTCATATCTAATCTGTAACCGTAAACAATTTTTCAGAAATCCATCCTGTGTGAACCATTGGAACCTTGAATTCCGAACACCTTTGCACATGGTATACCATCCCGTTTATTTTTATAATCCTGCAACAGCTGATGAAAGGCTATCGATAATGCAAGTGCTTATCGAGTATGGAGTAGATGTGAACATGAGAGGCGGATATATTAATCTCGAAACAGCACTGCACATGGTCGTCAAAAAGAAGCAGGTAAAGATTTCATGAAATGTTAAACTCACAAAATGAATGAAAATTCCAACTTTTGTGAATTCAAAGATCAGAGGGATGAGGTGTCTTCTAGAGAATAAGGCGGATCCGAACATTATGAATGTCTGCAATGAAACAGCTCTTCATCGTGCGGCATTTGTCAATGACACGAGGATTATAAGTTGTTGCTCGACCACAAGGCAGACCCGAAGAGCGTCGATTATCGTGACCGAACGCCTCTGGATGTCAGTATATGGAATGACAAATTGAACTCTGCGAAAATACTCTTGGATTTCAGGTAGGGCATCCACACTGTCCACCGCATGCTTTTTGCTGAAATAATTTCTGTCATGTGATTCACTTACATTTTTAAGAGCGAAGAGCAAAAATATCTACAAATGTTTGCTACACGTATGCAAAAATTCCTTGAACCAGTTGTCAAAGAAGAAATTGATTGATCGCATACTAAGACACTCAACTGAAATAGATAGCCATGGAAAATTTTCACTCAGAGCTCTATTTTACTATATTTTATCCAATAAACACAATTTTTTGGATGCCAAGGACCACAAAACATGTATTCTCCTCGAGATACTATCCGAAAAAAGTGTTCACCTTCATGATATTATGGGCAAACCGGATCTGCACTTAGCGGTCTGTGAAGGAGAAGAGGCAGTGGTCGAGGCACTTCTTCGAGAAGGGGCAGACGTCAATGCCAGAGATGTCTTTTTTGAGACACCTTTGCATTTGTTGTCAATGAATAAAAAACCATCCAGAATTGCATGTCTTCTTGTTAAGTATGGTAAATTCAAGTTTGTATGACTTTGAAGTGTTCAAGACATTATCCACGAAACTTATTATGATGAAAAGAGCAATCCGACAGACAAAAGAATAATCATTTCTTTTTGCAGGAGCAGATCTACGTGCACGCAATTGTATGGATGAAACACCATTTTTTCTGGCTGTAAGAAAAAAAAACATGAAACTGGTAAACTTGATTCTGGCAAAAATCACAGGAGTCGATGAGACAACGCTCATGTGTTCCTATCCTACGGCACTTCCTCTCTTGTATGTTTGTTCCTACTATGAGCTTATCGTTGCTATTGCCCTGCGTTACAAACAAGTTATCCATCGATTGATCGAAATGGACTACATAGTTGAGAAAAACACGAACCATTGCCAAGACATCAACAGAGCACTAAAAGAAGCTGTTTTTACTCGCCAATACGACATCATCAATATACTTTTGGAGTCTGGCTTCCAAATAGATCGGTTTGCTGCTTGATTGGTGATATTTGAGAAAGCTTTATCTAAAATTGGTTTTAATGAGTTTTTTTTTTTTTCATCGATAGGCGCTTCCCCCATGATGTACCTCGTTTTTCTGCAGTATACCAGACAGGATGTAATTTAAGGACAGTATGCTTGTTTCGGGAGTTTCAAGATAGCGCAATGATTGGTCAAGCGACGATTGATATCATTGACAAAGTTCTTGCACGGAGACCAATTGTAAATGAACTAATGAACCTACTAGTGTTTTACTATGCCATGGACTTGCATTTGAATAAAGTAAATGTCGACTTAATCCCACTCCAAGGACTATTCGAATCATGCAAAGAGTTATCGGAAATTCTTGATAAATGTAGTGATCAATTGAGCGGTTTAAAGACTTTTAAAGTAGAAAGCAAATCACTGTATGACATTGTTTTGATGCAACAAGGTTCACTAGTGAAATTATTGAACAATGAAAATTATGTCGATGCTTGTGTGCGTGTGCTTTCGTTTCTACAAGAAAAAAAAAAAATTACAGTATTACCAATACATAGTAATAGAAGCTCGTATTCATACAGCGATAGAAAAGATGGAGGTACTGAAAATGGCGAAAGATAATTTGAACAGAGCTCTGCAAGGTGTTTTAAGTACAGTTGATTTTGTAAATCTGCCTGATAAAATTACGATGAAAATTTTAACTCATTTACATATGAGGGAACTAAAGAAAATAGCAGAAACCAGTGAAGTGTATTTTAATTATTAAAAATTGTCCATAGTGGAAAGCGTTGCACTCTATCTGTTAAAAGTGATTTTGCTCATTCGATACGAAAAATTAAAATATGGTTGTTGTAATAGCCGTAACTAATTTCCACTACGTTATTACAAAACTGCCTGAAAAAAAAAATTTTTTTTAGTATCCTCAATTTTAATATTTGGGTTTTATCTTGTGAGACGACTTTTTTTGATAGTTTAAAATTTTTGCTTAGAAGCTTGTGGTAAAATACTGGAATGAGTGATGCATAATCTTTAAATGCGTCTTTTTCAAAATCACCTAGTTTTATGTAAAAACGTGTGTGTTTGTCACGTATAAAGACCAATGTTTAAAGCTTAAAAAAAATTTTTTATGCAAAAGCAAAAAAGTGATGTATTTACGACCAACACATACTTCTTTGTAGTTAAAATATGCTTCATACTGTTTTAATTGGATTTACTTGAGAACTTTAACGCTTTGTCTATTATACAAATGTAACAAATGAATTGATGACGTAAATAATTGTTTCAATTTTCAATGTATATATTTCCACCAGAAAAAGAGTATACCTGTATTCATGTATTTTTTTTTCTGATTAATCATTATTGTATTAGGAGTTTATGCAGGTGGTACAATCAAAATTTCATACTTACAAAATAAAAGTTATACAATAAAGAATTTCATTGACATTGGGTACTGATGTATTATCACAAAATAAGATCCAAAATATTATTTGTCGTGAAAGATTTATTTTTACGAAAAAACTGAGAAACTGTTTCTTATCAAATCTTTCACGTATTTTCTTAAAATCGTAACGAGGCAATCAACTAATTAAACCGTACAGAGAAATGAAAGAAAAAGATGAAACTTAGTGTTGCACGACTGATGAAAAACAGCCTTTAATCCCGAAAACTGATAACCCAACAACCAACCGCAGCAAGCAACGATGAAAATCCATCATCCACGCCGATACCGATCAACCAAAATTGAGAGCTCAATCGTACCGCCGCATCGAGCACACCGCCTCAGATCTCTCCGAAATGGTGCCGAAAAAAAAAAAAGTAAAAAATCAAAGAATTGACACACTCTCTCACCTTTTTCCTCGGCATCTCGTACACGGGGCACGTACGATCTCGAAACGAAACAACGACAATAACCTCAGGTCCCCCCGGGCGCGACAAAGAAAGAGACCGAGGAACGTCGCCCACTTCCGAGCTGCGATTACGCGCACGTGTGCGTCAGAAACGCGTGGAGAGAGGGTCCAGCCACCCAAGTAGTTTTGGCCCTTGGTAATAGCATCTGCCCCGGCTACACACGCACACGCCTTCCTTTCGGGGCATGTATACGTAATACACACGATAAGGAAACCGATTGCCCGACAACCGCAGCTGCTATGCATTCCGAGAAGTCCCCGGAATTTCAACCCTCTCCCGTTCCCCTAATCGCGCGCCTCCACGCGAAACTCCTCTCGGGCAAAAATATTTCCTGCTCCCGTTTTTCCCGCGTCTCGGGACGCAATTCGCGCCCCACCGACTCCAGGAACAGGACCTCGCACACGCGGAGGAGTTGAGCCCGATCAATTTCCTCCACCTGAATCTACAGGATATCTTGCCAAGAGTCGGAATCGGTTGGTCGTTCGCGGTAGCCGAGTCGGGCGAGCGATGTGTGCATCTCGTGGCTGAACAGGTTGGCGCGGGTCGACTGGACCGGCCTGGTTTTGTGATCGATTGTGGGGATTATCATTATTAGTATTGGTTTTAAAGAATATTCGGGTATGGGTTGATTATAACGTGTACGTAATATGCATGCCCGATAATCATCGCGGGTCCCTCCTCCAGCGTGCGAGTGGTTATCGTGGAATGCGTCCCCGTGAGCTTTGGGACGAGAGTGTTTTCTTGAAAAATTGCCGATCAATGAGAAAAAACGTTTAAGCCGAACACCTGACTTTTGTCCCGAAAAATCACGTGTATCGACAGTAGTTGAGTGTGGAATGGCGAGAAGGGGGTAACAGGGGGACCACCCAAGTCCTCCCCGGACGTGCGGGTCCTACCGAGAAAGAATGCTTTCCTCCGGCCCCACCCATGCGTGGGCATCGTCCGAGGGGACCCGGTGTAATTAAGCGGTGAGGATACTTTTTGGGACGAAGCGTAAAAACTCGAGAAGACGCTTGACTGTAATTAAAACCTTTTCTCATGAAGTGGACGGGCACGTTTCGTTCCATTAGTCGCGGCTTTTGTGAGATATTGGCCTGTGCTTGGATCAACCGATTTGGTATTTCATTCAGCTTGGATGATCCATTTGTTTAATCAATATGATAAGGTGGTCGTTCGTTAGATCACGTTTGAATATCGAATCAGTAAATCGGAAATGGGATACTAATTAATAGTTAGATCGTTACTGTTAAAACGGAATGATGAATGGTAGGATTTCCAACTATTCGATGAATTTGGATTTCTAAGCTAACAACACCTATGTTTTGAGTACCTTTCTATCTCGGCCAACTGAAAAGTATTCTATTGCAAGTAGATTGCCAAATATATTAGAGCAATATACCATTATACAATTTTGTATGAATAACAGTTCGACTATCAGTTTATTTTTAGACGTGGAACTGATAAAACTTGGCCGGTAAAAATAAATTGAGACATGTAGTAATTTCTCCAATAGTTTATTCATTCTTGAGTACATAGTAAGTAAAAAAATTTTAAACAGGAGATAAAATTTTAATACGATAAAAAGCTTACTGTGAGTTTAACTTCTCTAAATCCTAGAAAGAATAAGGCAAAACCTATGTTTAGGAAAACAATATTGACCCCGATACCCCAAATAATGATGATTTCACAGCTTTGCACTTCATGGTACGGTGCATCGCGAAATTGGACCAATCAAAAAATTGTAATTCAAGTATGAAGCAAACCATATTACTACTCATTTACTGACTTGATACAGCTTGATAACACTATCTGTGGTCAAAATGTAGGTTTCTTAGAGATGCAGACAAACTGGACAGTTAAAGAAACTTTTTCTTACAAAAACATAAAGAGCACCCTAGAATATCACAAAGACAAAAGGGCTGGCTCTTCAGGTCATTGCATAAAATCTATTCCAAGTATTTCATGGAACACGGCCATACGTCTAGTCATCCATTACGGGACTAGAGAAATCATCAGAGATCTCATTCGGATGCATTATTTTTCTTAGTGATTATGCTATCCCAAGTAAAAGTATTGTATACAGTTTGTATATAAACTAGATCAAGCTTTACCCCAAAAATGATTCTTCATATTATTTGTATATTAATTGTGTATTAGCTTTGTATACGAATTGGGATCTAGCATGAAAAATTCTAACTGGTCCGTCTTGTAGATTGTACAAAAATACTAGACATGTATTGTTACTTTTTGTATATAAACATGAATTGATCGAGATAGAGCAGGTCGAAGTTCACGAGTGGGAGCTTATGACGCCTAAAATTCCTTTAATGTGAAAAAGCATCTAGCAATTCTGTTTTATAGTCAGTCGGTTATATTTTTTTCCGTGTTTCTTACATCTATATACATGCACAGGTTTTCAAGAAATTACCAGCGCATGGCGGCGACTCATTCAGCATATGATAAGTAACATATTTACATATAGATATACTTAACACGTGGAGGGATCCGACCGACCGACTGACAAATGTATGTACTTGCCACTAACAAAACACTCAAGCAAAGCAACAATTTTTAGTAACATTCTAGTTGAAGATCTAAGCATGATTTTTTTTTATGATTGAGTACAAAACATTATACTCTCCACTAACTCCGCATTCACGCTTTTTATACTGTTAAGCTGCAGAAGCTGATGTTGATCATGATACAAGACTTTGTTTTTCTCACACAAGAGGACGTAGGCACTTCAATTTGACGTCTAAAATGTGTCATTTATAGCATCGGATTGGCTTACACTTGCCGTTTTTTTTCTAATATTCTTCAAGACCGTAGATTGTCATTATTTCAGATGTATACTCACTGCTGCATTTACTAATTATTAATTACATGTCAGCCGGCCTCGACTCTCAATCGCAGTTAAGAAACAGCGCCCTCTGATAAGGAACTTGAGAACTATTTGGGCCTACGTCTAGCATGATAATATCAGTATATCTATATAACCGATTATAGGCACGTTGACTGGAGATATAGATATACTTACCAACACGCTAAGCAATTAACACATTCACAAGTGTCTCACCTACAGGCATTTTGTTATCTATACCAGCCTAATGCTTGAAATTTACTATTAAACAAGCCAGGCAGCAAGAGGCTACTATCGGGCCGGGCTAATGGGCAGTCTGAAAAATAAAAAAACGTGTTTTTTTTTTAACTAAGTATTCAAGTGTAATAATATTACCACTAATTAAAGCACACTAATAACCCACGGATAGATAAAATCGAGGTAATGATTGTCACTGTGTGACTTGGAGGAATAATTGTTTACTCGTCGTTAAGCATAAACTAAAATAACCATTTTAGTTCTATTCAGTTCGGATGTTAGTAGATGTTTCAACGTAAAACCAATAAAACTTGGCCAGCAAACGTAAAAATATACTTATAAGGGTAGTAAGTTTTCGAATAGTTAATTCACTCTTGAGCGCAAAGTAAGTACCAAAACCAAAGGTTTATCATTTTTATTCGTCTATCTACGACGATCAGATATTCTCAAACTAAGGTAAGGACGAAAAATCATGAGCAATCGAAACGAGGAATCTCTTCACAGTGCAGTTTACTGTGGTGACCTTGCGAAAGTAAAAAATATTCTAATAAAGTAATTTTATCTTAAAAATAAACCTAATTTTCTGTAAATGTTTCAATTTCTCAATCTCCTAATACATTTCTCAGAGATCCATTGTGTATTAACGATTGGAATCTGGAGTTCAAAACACCTCTGCACATGGTCTACGATCACATAAATGATTTAAATCCCGTGCAAGCTGATGACCGACTACCTATTATGCAACTCCTTATTAACTACGGGGCAGACGTAAATACACGTGGACCTAGACATGAATCAGCGCTTCACTTAGCAGTTAGAAAACAGCAGGTAATATTTTAATACGACAATTTAAAGTTTACCAAAAGTTTAATATTTTTATCCAAAATATCCAAAGATCAATGGGATAAAACTTCTTCTGGAGAACCATAGTAACCCTGACATCCCAAACGAATATAATGGCACAGCCTTGCACTTTGCGACACATTATAAACCTGGAATCATCATGAAACTGTTGATAAAGTATAAAGCAAACCTTAATACTGGTGACACATTTGGAAATACACCACTAGATATGACTATCCGTCATCGTAATTTAAATTTCTTTAAGATACTCGTAAAGTACAGGTATAAAGTCTTTGTATTACTTTATGGTATTGTCACTTAGAAATTGTACTTTGTGAATGTAATCAAATGTGTTAACTTATTTACAGCGCAAAGAGTCTCCATATCTACGATATGATATCTGAAGTATGTGATGGCTCATCAAAACAACGCGACCAATTGTTTCTGAAGTATTTACTGAAACACGCATCCAGATTGGACATTAACAGAAATTTTTCGCCCAAAGCTTTATCTTACTATTTAATATCAAAAAAGCACCCTAGATATCACAGAGGCAAAAGGTGTTTGCTTATCGAGTTACTGCACAAAACCAATTCCAATCGGAACACGCAAAACTCAGCGATGCATCTAGCTGTCCGTAACTACGATGTAAACCATGTTAGATATCTCATTCAGAGGGGGGACAACGTTAACGTTAAAAATAAATATGGCGAAACACCATTACATTTGGCTTTACGAGAAGTTAGTTCTATTTATCATAGTGAAACTTGCACCAAAATAGCTACTTTGCTTATTGATAATGGTAAGTTAAAAAAAATAATCATTTTTTTTACTGTTGTCGTGTCATCATCCTATACTATAGACAGTCGAAGTCTCGATAACGTAGAATCATTTCTCGGTAATTGAATTACTTCTCGACACTGAACCACTGCGAATAACTAAAATAAGATCTCAACTGATTTATATGATAAGAAGAATTTTTCAGGAAGCGATTTCCGAGTCAAAAACTATTTACAGGAAACACCATTTTTTTGGGCAGCAAAAACGTTCAATATACAGGTAGTAAAGTTAATGCTAGAAAAAATCACAGGAATCCCCTCAACAACTTATAACACTGAAACTCGATATAGTTCTGACATTCTTGAATATCATACATTCAATAGCAATGAGCCTGAACTTTACGAAATCATCATTAGTATTGTTTGGGGAAACGTGGAAGTTGTAGATCACTTGCTGGACACATATTTTAACAACGAGATCAAAAGAAATAGCTGTCAAGATGCGAATAGAGCGCTCAGTTTAGCGACACAAACAGGACAATACAAGATTGTTAAGCTGCTCCTTGAGTCCGGCTTCAGAGCTGATGAGTAAGTCAACCAATTATTATAATCTGAAATTCTCGTGGCATGTTTATTCGAGTAATTACTTATGGCTTCTTTTTTTTAGGCGCTTTCCCTCTCAAGTACCTCACTTTGATGCAACCAATAGTATCGAGGATAACTTAAAAATCATCTGTTTATTTTGGGAATTCCAGGACGGCGTAACAATTAGCCGAGCAATAATTAATGCCTTTCGTCGCATTGTTTTGGATGAACCTGTGACTGAATCATCTTATCTTTTGGTACTTTTATACGCCATATGTTTGCACATGAATAATTTAAGTGCAGATTTGATTCCAGCGAAAGGATTATTTGAGCTACATTATGGGTTGTCTCTAATTTTTTCTACCTGTAACGAGGTACTGGAAGAGTCGAAAAAATTCAAGGCAGGTAACATGACTTTCTACGACATTTTGACAATGCCATTAAATAAGATTGTAAGATGGCTAAACAACCCGATGTATTTTGATAATTTTTCACTGTATAGTTCGATACTTGAGGAGAAGAGAGATCTTGAGTACATAGGGTATATAATGAAATGTCGTTTTGATTTGGCGTTAGAAAAAAGAAAGTTGTTGAATGCTGCGAAAGATTGTGTGAACGAAATTTTTGAAGGTGTCGTTCAGACAATAGGTTTTATACATCTTCCTAATGAAATTATAGAAAACATTTTGGCCCAACTTAATGTAAGAGAACTAAAATACCTTGTGAAAATAAAGAAAGCTACATTTTACCTGTATTTTGTTTTCATTTATATTCAACTCTCTAATTTAATGTAAATTTGTTTAATGCCATCTTAACCAAACCATCCAAATTGTAATTTTCAACATATTTTGACGTTTCCATGAGTATTGAATAATTACAGGAACAAGAGTTGCATTGCAGACTATTAAATATAATACTTGAGGTTCCAGAAAATAGTCACAGTCAATTAATAAATATTCAATGTCGTTGTCGCATTGTTATCATTGACTTTGAATAACATGTTCTTATTCCTGATTAAAATGTGGCGTTGAAAGACAAAATTTAAAATCCTCAGTTTTTGCACTTCGTCATCATCTCCAACAAAACACTTGATCAGAAATAATACACGAATTCATGTTTTAGGATAACCACTGACAGCCAGGTCAAGTATTCCTTTGACTCTACTCCTACAGCCTTACTACTCGTATTTTTTAGCCAGGCAAATGGGTCAATGGATTCAGCAAGACTCGAGCTGCTGTACAAAAGCTAAGCCGTACAAAAAAGAAACGAGGAGTATCTTTTTTCTCACCAGGAATAATTTCATCTTGTGATCGATGTAAAAAAGGAAAAAAGCCACGAGGAAAAAGAATCTAGTTTTAACCACTTGGAAAAACACTGCGATTCAATACACGCAGCCGCGCGCCAAGGTATTAGGAGGGACCTCGAGGAGGGGTGGGCATTTACCACGCTTATCATCCCTAATTCATCGTACTTACACCACTGGCTAGCGCAACAGGTATTATAAGCCAGCCAAAGTCCCCCCAGCCCTTACACCTCTCGGGGCCCGGTCTCATGGACAGTCGGGAAAAGAAGGGAAAAATTCCTCGGCAAATACGGAGTTATCGCGCGCCGCGCATCTTTTCCTCGCCGAGGGATATACATATCGCGCCGTGGGGAGGAAAAGCCCACGGCAGCAAGTGCGGAAAGAGCTGCCCGCGCGATCTTAGCATCAACACCCGCGTACTCGTATAAACTCGCGCGCGCACGTACTCGGATAAATATGTACACACACACGTAGACACACGGGCTTGGGCAGAGGAGAGGATCCCGTCGACTACTCGTTACGATAACCGTCTCGGATCATCGGGGGGAGAGGAAAGCTAACAACCGCGAGCGCGAAAAAAAGATGACTGCGCCGAGATATCTGCAGCCATATGGCAGCGCTTCCTCGTTCTCCGGAGGGACTCTCTCTCTCTCTCTCTCTCTGTCTCGTCCTCTCGCGCCAGGCTTTCCTGCGCCTTTTTTTTCATCCTTTTCTCCCTTTTTCCCGGTTGTACGGGTGTACACACACACACACACACGTGAACGAAATATCTTTCTCTCGCTCTTTCCCCTGCGAGGATTTATCGAGGAACGCGTCAGCGGGAGCGAGGTTCCGTTAAGGATGCGGGAGAGGTGAAAAGCCCCTTGGTGGTGGTGCAGACGTGTGTGTACGTCTTATACATGCAAAGTGTATATACCTGGCGTAAGTTTGCGTATACAACGCGTGACACCCTTCAAATTCGTATTTATGACGTAAAGTGTGCCGAAAGCACTCCCGAGTGGCTTTGTTTTCTAAAATGGGAGGGACTCAAATGCACTGCTGTTAGTTTAACTTCTATGTGAAGTGTAGCCAAATTGCTTCAGATTTCGTAGATTTTTGATTGATTTCCAAGTTATTCCTCGCTGATTCGGTGGTGTGCACATTTGTGAGGAATGTTAAATGATGCTGTGAAGATCAAATGATTTGTTGGTCTATGATCTCAAATGATCATGGGTAGAAATATAACAGAGACAACAAGGGTGAATGTCATCAATTGTTACATTTTGCTCGGCTAAAAGTATATGGCCATCCCATTGATGGGCCATTTTTGTATAACATTGTTAGCTCTGCAGAAGCCAGCTGGGACAACGGAGGAACAATCGTATGGTAGAATTATCAGTGAACCATACCTCGTTTGGTATAGTAACTAGTTGAAGCGGCACAGTAGTCAGCCCTTACGCTCAAAAGTTTCCAAGGAGAAAACGGCCCCTCCACTTAAACTAAATACCGTCAAAGCTCTTCTGGCGTGGGTTCATACTATAATGTGTATATACATTGGTATGTCACGAGTGTGGTATCTGTGTCGTTTCGAGCAAAGGATATTTACTGTACCGGGACTCGACCGAAGAGAGAAGCCGAACAGAGCCGTCACTCTCGAGAGCCGCGGATGGAGAGTCGCTCGGAGACATAAACACTTTATGGAGAATTCACGGACCACGAGGTACTTGTTGTACATAGACACGTGTCTCTGTATGCGTGTGTATATGTATACATAAATACTCGCGATCTCGCATGTTTATACATAAGACACGCTAGCCTCTTTTCCCACTCACATTATTCCACCATGGGTATCCTTCCACAACTTGCACACTTGACCCTCTTCTACGAGGTTCACGATACAACACAAAGAGGAAAGGTATACGTTACACGTATCATGTCTATCTACGTGTCGAGGATTTCATTTGGTTACATCCAATGTATCACGTGAACTCGAGTGTTTGTTGATCGGCTCATCGGACTTATTAGCCATAGTCCTGCTGTACCAAATTGCCATTATTGACCAAGTCCGCCAACACACTTGGATCCAATGATAACTTGGAAATTACATCTATGAATTTGAACACGATATCACACGTAATCTTGTACTGTATTTGTGCGCAATAGCAGTTACATGGATGGAGCTTTACAAAAAATCATCGTGGGCTTGTCGGGAGCATTGGACCAACACAAAACCGAGATTGCGTTCGGCTCTCCGGTTAGATAACTGGGCCTAATCAGCGCTTACGTATTATTATTAATAAAAACGCTGTACATCCACGTGAATCGGCAGAGTAATTTCCACTTCCCATCCACACCTAGCTTCTCTTATCAACGCCTCTTGAGAAAAAAAAAATCCTCACTTCCTTACATCGCATCCTTGCCAACGTGGATATACACAACGGCGCGGAAAACACCCTCGGCACGCTCGTCCGAGCGAGGCGTTGCTGTGGGCGCTGGAAAAATAAAATCGCCGTGGGTGTCTCTCCAACAGCGGTGTAATTAAACCGTTAATGCCGCGGGTTCCCATAACAACGACGGCGCTTGTTGCTTCGCACGCCCACGAGGGATTTTCAATGTTTTTTTTTCTTTTTTTTTTTTTCAGCTTTACGTTGCCGTATGGAATCAGGAAGAAGCTTCCTGCTCTTTTGTTCCTTGGCTCGGTTTTGGTGCTCTTTTTCCGAGAGTGACGCGAGGGATTTTCTCTCTCCGTTTCGCGTTTTTGTTTTGTTTTTGCTGGCACATACAAAGGTGCTGAGGCGGTGTTTGGACAACCGCGCTGTTATGTACACCGGCTTTTTTAATGGGCCGGTGTATGATTTTACGAGCCGTTGCGGTATGAATTATTGATGAATTAGCGGAGAGAGCCTTGTTGGCTCTTTTTTTTTTCCATGTTGTTTGTGCTTCGTGCCACGCAGTTGCGGAAATTTTTGTGTTTGCCCGAGTTGCGTTGTTTTTACGGCGATGCGCGAAAAACGCCCGGAAATCCGAGCAAATATACGGATGGATGAGTTATGGTACACACGAGCGATCGAGTTCTGGCTCAGCTGCAGTGGCTAAAGGCCGATCTTGGAACCAAGTGGATATCAAAGTAACGGTGACAAGTCTTGGGTATTTTCATGAAAAAAAAAAATAAAAAAGTTTTCATTACACTGCTAGACAAGTTATCGAGCAATATGAAATATGAGCGTTTTTTTATTTTAATAAAAATTGACCTATAGGTCTATAGACAGAGAACCCTAAAGTTTTGGTAATCCATTTGACAAAAATTTACTTAAGGAGGTTAGATAAAATCTTTCAGAGGGAAGGTAAAGCGAGGTCAAGGGTGTGGGAAGCTTACAGTATTAGCGACAGAACGTTATACAGCATATTCTTACAGATGCATGCATCCATCTTGTAAACCTAACCAAAGTTTTCATTTTTATTTCAAAAAATCGTGATTTTCTCTTTAATTAGTATGGATACTGACAAAAATCAGAGGATCATATGAATCTGCAGTATTTGAAGTATCAAAATATATTTTTTGTCGATTTTTTAACTATTACTAAGGAATGTCATTTTTAGGTCACAACATTGCTCCCCTAACAGCCCGTGTTAAATTGTTCATTTTTTATTTTGAAATATCTTAATAACTACATGGCTGAGATCGACCAAAAAAAGTATGTTTGTTTTTTATAACACATAGAATGACTATTGTCGATATTACAACTATTGTCGATGATATGTATCCAACCTCCTTAAATTGGGAAAGGTAATCTTTTATTTCATTTCATTTTCTACCCGAACAAATTGCATGAACTTTGCGGTTACATGTACACTACGGTAAATGTAATGGGATCCACTGTACTGTGAGTGCAAAAAGTAATGTTGTCGCGAAGTAACTGATGATAAAAATTCGGTCAAAAATTCAACCCAAAAGCCCAAAACTACCCCGTTCCCAAATTGTGGAAAAAAAAAATTAAGGCCAAAAATTTTTCACACGATCGTCAAAATAAAACGACTCCGGTCGTTTTAAAGAGACCATAACTCACGCGCCCTCGAGGACCGCGAAAAGGTCCTAAGACGCGAGATCATGGTCGGGAGGCCCAAAAAAGCGACTCTTAGAGTCCAGTTACAGCGCGACCGCGATAACAAGCTCCCCTCGAGTTAGCCCCGAAAAAAAAAAAAAAAAAAAAAAAGGAACAGAGTAACGACCTGGAAGAGGAGGAGTAGCCGAGGCACAGTTACCCAGTGTATACCCACTCTCGGCGGGAGCACACAAAACCCACGGCAAACAATGCGGCGAAAATCACCCTCTTGGACCCAATAACGACGGTATACATTTCCCTCCCCGCGACGAATGTATGCCACTGCGGGCAAATAAATAAATTGAAAAGAGAAAGAAAAAAAAACAAGGTGAGCGTCACGGTGGGGAACACGTTTGATCGCCGAGAAGAGGAGCCAGCGAGAGAGAAGAAAAGAAAAAAAAAAAAAAAAAAAAAGAGGAGAAACGCGGCGCGCGATAAACGCGGAATCGTCGTGGGACGGGAGGAGCAGAGAGAGAGGACACCTCGAGACCGTAAATTTCCCCGTCGTGTTAGAGGTCCCTGGGCCCGCTTGCCTTCGTGTGCATTATACATAAGGGGGGCGCGATTGGGGACTGCTGCGAAGAGAGGAAATATGGAAAAAAAAAGGGGTGGGGTGGACAGGCTCTGTTATTCGTTACAATGGCAAAAAATGCCGATGGCACCGGCACGAGTTCGAGAAAAACGGTGCTTATCATTTTATTAACTCGACTCTCGCCCTCTGTAGGGAGAGAGAGGGAGAGAAACGAGTCCTTAAACAACCCGGCGCGGGCCACCCCCTCTCTTTTGAACTCGTGTGTGTAAAATGTTGGTGGAGGCTGTTGTATAGAGGGACCGATGGTAATTAAGGCCCAATCGAGGATTTCC